TACAGGTATCCCAGTTTACTCCAGGTAAGTTGAAATCTCCACATACTACTTTGTAGTCGAAGTCCAGCGTCGCTACATGCTCTAGTATTTCTGCAATAGTTATATCAGTCATTTCAGGGCTATTGGGGGGTCTGTATATACATCCCACGAGAATTTTACTTTCGTTTGTGTGGATGCTTATCCACTTAGATTCTGGGAGTTTGTCAGTATTTGGGTTATTGAAAGTATTGGAGTTAGTGGATTTATAGGCATATATTAAGCAACCGCCTCCTCTTTTGTCAACTCTATCGTTCCTATAGATGTCGTAGTTGTCTATTACCAGCTTTGTGTCAGGTATATCAGTAGTAAGCCAGGTTTCAGTCACCATTATTAGTGTTGGCCGTTCTATGTATGCCAGGCAGCGAAGCGTTGTTATTTTATTAAGGAGAGATCTAGCATTCAGGAGCATAATTGTTAGTAAACCAGAGTTATTGGAGGAGAGGTTAACATGGTTACTTGTCACTATCCCTACGTTATGTTTGGAGGGGCTCTGAGGTGAGACAGAGTCAGTGTGTGTACTATTTCCTGGATGAACTGTGCAGCGAGTGGGGCTATTGTTTGCTGCAGCCGAAAATAATCCTGTTGCATATTTTGACTATTAGCATCCATGGGTCGGCATCTGCGTTGATCTACTGGTGATATATGGTCTGCCCTGCAATTTGGGTTGTAGTTTGCTGGACCTAGGTACCCTGTGTTAAGATTACCCTGGTAGTTGTACCTCATGGGGCTTTCATAGCCGTATGCATATTGGCTCACGTCACGTGCGTGAGTGAAGTTATTGAGGGGATCAAGTGTCGACCTGTTCTCATTAAGTTGATGAGGTTTAACATATATAGTGCGAGAGTTTGGACGAGAATTTTCGTTAATATGGTGCCTATATGAGTCCCGTTTAGTGCCATATATATCCTGAGGATCCATTCTACGTTGCATTCCCAAGTTATGTGCGTTGTTAGGCATGTTACTTCTAGTTCGGGAAGGGGTATTCCTTCTCACATGCTGCGTGACGTCTTTGGGAATGTGCTTCGTTACCCATGCTTTGTCATTTTTTAGACTGACACGCTGCTTATTAGACTTATTACGAGGGAGGTATGTCGAAGTCTGGGGTGGGACTCTGGGTTTTGTGGTCTTTTTTGCGGTTTCTACTGAGGGACTCTCTGGCTTGGATCCAGATTGAGTGTGGTCTGCCAGTAGTTTCTGGTCAGCCATAGTTTGTGCGTCTATGTCAACCTCATGTAGGTCAGCAGGTTTTCGAGATGTGCTCTCGTGCACTCTAAGACTGCACCCAGTGGCACTGCTCTTACTGAGTTTTGGGTCGCTCTTACTTGCCGTTTTTTCTCCTAACACTATACACGTGACTTGCTGTGCCTCAGTGTCCGTCGACACTTTAGCACTGATACCAGATGTATTTCTCAGTGTTGTCAACTTTGTGTCGAAGGAGTTCTTGGTTGCTTGCCTTTGGTTTGGTGTTTTATCCGAGACTACTTTAATAGTCTTGAATTTAGTGGCAGTAGCCAGAAGATCTTCGGCCATCTTAAATCGTTCAGCTGTTATGTAGCTGTCGAACCTAAAGAGTATAGGACAAGGATGCTTTAGGTCTTTTTTGCTTAGGCGAATGCACTGACAAGGTGCATTCAAGAGATTTGCAGCCTTCAGCAATGAGTGCTGGACTGACTTTATGGGCTCGCTATCCGGTACATTATATACTATTGCGTTTTGTTTTGAAGCCAGCCTTTTAACAACTTCGCTGGATAGAAAGTCGATGGCGTTTTCTAACTCCTTCGCACTTTCTGAGTCAGTATGAGTCATTCTAGAGGTCATATTAAAAAGCTTTAGGATTGTAGGATCCTGCATTTCTTTTTTCATACGTGAGATAGTTTCGGGTATACATTCTAGGGAACTTAATTTCGTTTTTAATTCATCTATCTGTAGCTGCATCTCTTTAATTACGCACGTTAAGTAAGAGAGCTCTACTTTTTCAGACAGAACATCTTCCACCTGTATTACAGGGGTCAGAGTTATGTTTGAGGCTTTTATGTTGGATGAACTATTAATGATATGGGGTGGTAATGTGTTATTAGACGAGCCGGTGCTATTTTCTAAATTACTGGTGTTCACACGAACACGCTTTTTAGAATTTTTAACCATCGTTATTAAAGATCAATTATTAGTAACCAATAAATGAATATAAGCGAAAACACGTGCAAAAGCGTCACCTGATTTGAACGTACCGGGCGTTCGATTCTAATACTCGACTCTAATACTCACGCAGCGAACGTTATCTAAATTACTGATTTCTATTCTCTATAATTTTCACTAAGTTGTGTTGGTAAAAGTAACTGGAAATAATTGTAATAGCATCCACACCTTTAATGTTTCACATATGTATATACTAATGTAATAATACTTATTAATCATGCATGTTCAATTCTTAAATTAGATTGTCATTAAAATACTTAAAATGATTAAAATATTTATGCATCAAATGTTCTCTTGCTTTACCACGCTTGTTTACCTTATAACACTCAATTATTGAGCCTAATGTATTATTTGTTATACGAATTATATTATTGATTATACTCTTATCACATATGGTTTGATTTACTCTACGGCTCCCTGTAGACTAAATACCATTCTTCAGTATACACACACTGCAGTATTGTTAACCAAATGCCAAAATTTTGTTGGTTCTGTGTTATTATCTTTTTATATGTCTAGACACGTTACTTTGCAATGTTAGATGTTTACTATATATAAGTACACTAAGTCCTGCCAACCGACCTTACCTTCAGTTCATACTACCTACATTGATCCCTAACTATATTGTTCTGCTGAATCTTGTTCCACTATTCACAATACCTATTCGTTTTACTCTTTAAGTTTTTGACTTCTTATAAAGTAATCTGTTCATTAGGATGCATGCACACATATATAATATGTTCGTAAAGATGTACGTGGAGACCTATTGGAAGCACTCATTAAGAAAGCTAGGGAGATGGAATATGGGGTACGAACATGTCTGGTACCAAGCAATATATTTGCGGTAGCCATAATAATCATAGTCTCAGAGCCTAACATCAAAAAAGGAGGGAGGGTGGTGCTAGCTGATCAGTAGATATGGTGGTGGTCACTAAGGTGAATCACCCCATTCTGCAGGAACAGCAATATGCAATTTGAAGGCTCGAGATATTTCTGATTTTTATGAGGTCTTAGATCTTTATCTTGAAAAAGATAATAATGAACGCCTTGACAGATCATGCTTCTACCTTTAAATATATACCATCCGCTCAGCCTATTGTTGAGATGCGACCACGCGGGATCTGCACAGATTTATGGGGCATCTTATAAATTAACTTGCTATCCATTGTCAGATCTTTAAATACCACTTCACAATATCTTGTCTCACTTATTTTCTAATAACGTCTTTACTTGATCCTCATTATATTCCATTAAACCTAGCATTTTATAGCTCTTAATGAATTTGATTCGACTCATTCTATTCCTATTCTCTGGAGGGTACGGTTGTGCACCAAATAGACAAAAAGACATGAAACAAAAACAACTAGCTTGAAAATAATTGTATTAAAGCCAAAAGTGGACATCATGATAGTACAAAATATATTGGTTTTATTACACATTGCAAATGAACGTTGTCGGCCTAAGGATTAATTACTTCCCCATTCTGTTTTCTACATAAATGTGTTTATTAATGATATATTTTACTCACTTAATCTATTATACTTTGATGTTTCACTTTAGCACTTTAACTTTTCTAAAACAGCTTCCAATCCCTTGTAAACGTTGTACTTACCTCAATATTGGTTGGTTATCGTATACCTACAACCTCGGGTTGAAAACGAAACTAAGTCGACTTTCCCGCTCAACCTGGAGGACAACTGTACAATTCAATAACTATACGGCCTGGTTCAGACAATGAGTGTAATTATATATATATATCAAATATTTAACTGTTGAAACATTATTAACTTGTAGACAATTTAAGATTTGACATTATAACATACTTGATCGTGCCTGTAAAAATGGCATGCATTTTCATGTAAATTTATGTTTATATGAAAATACACATTGTTATTCTTATAAAAGTAGTGGTTTGTCTCCGAAATAAACCGTACGATTAAAGGCTAAAGATATTAGGCCTATACACATTTAGGGAGATTTGATTATTGCCTACATGATAACAAATGACCAGAATCACCCAAACGAACGTGTTCTGCCATTGAGTAGTTAAAGGCATACTCGGGGAAACCCCCGAAGAATAGCTCACCAGATGGTAAGGAGTCGGGTGCACTCCCACTTATTTTCACTGCAGGTTTTTCGTCCTTGGAACTCCTTACCAGCAGATGTAGCTACGGCACCGTCTGTGGACACCTTTAAGTGAAGGCTGGACAATGATGCAGCGACAAAATTCTGCGGCTTAATGGATAATCGCCTTAAAATCTCACACAATATTCATGGGTATACACCTAAATTCATCGTTTTTCTTCTCTACATTTTCTCCTGTCATACTCTCTTGACAACAATTACTAGACTTACACTTGTTATTATTGCTGATATTGTATACATATATATTTATATATGTGTATATATCAACTTCAAATTTAATTAGCTGTCTGTTTTTACGTTTTCTTTATTTTTTGTCTTTTTAGTTTGAATAAACTACATTAATCTTATATGTTATTACTATCTCTTTTCTTTTGACGACGATACCGGAGGACTAACCGATGAAAGGATCAACTCCATTCAAAAGAGTAACACTCTAAATACACCATATGCTACAAACAACTTAGAATTAATCCCAGCACTACTACTTTTGGAGTCAAGCAAAGCTACGACAGATAAGTGACGGGAAATTACCAAAGATGAGGAACCTATATCTCACAATCAGGAGGCAAGCACAAAGAAATCAAATCGGTTTATACTAGCTCGTAAAAACGATATTGGATATTGGATGTGTGGACTGGTTGAATTGACACTCTATGTCAAGGTTGAGTAACAAAGTCCTCTAGGTTTTTATATCACCAAAAAAATTCAGGTCAGCGTGATTAGTAAAATCACCTATTATTCGAACTATCTTGCGTACGTCTATGCATAATGCGGAATATGTCGCACACATGTCATTTTTGTGCAAAAATTCCTCGATATAATGATTGATCGGCTCAAGGTCACTCGTGCTTTCGCATCCTTTGGACGCTATTGTTGAACTGTGCTGCTTTCTTCGCGTATAGTACTTGTTAAAATGAACATATTTCTCCTAAATTACCCAAGCTAAAATAATGCTGAATTAATGATCGCAAGCAGTGAACTGACTCTTTGTTTCTAGTGAGTAAATTCTGAGATGACTTGAAATTGTGCGTCGCGGAGTGGTTAGGACTCTCGCCGACCATGCACACGATCCTGTGTTCGAGCCCACGCCGACGCACACCTGATATCTATGGTCGGCCTGTAAGATTTGGGCTACCGATATCCATGCTGAAAATTCCATACTTCAGATTCAGATTTATTGTTTGAGGATAGAAGGCTTGCAGCCTATGTTAATCCTTTTCTAGTAGATTTCTGTGGTTGTCCAAACCCTTCTTGAACGAATCAATTGAGGTTGCAGACACCACTTCTTCTGGGAGTCGGTTCCAAGAGTTTATGACTCGATGTGAGAACCAGTACTCAACAGCAATATGATTTCTCCTTGGCTTTTGAACTCTCCTGCTATGTCCTCTAAGGTGTTCCGACCTGGTGGGAAGGAAAAGAGAGAATAGGTCAGGTCCGTAGTCATTATTTAAAATTTTAAACATTGTGATTAAATCTCCTCTCTGCCTACGGTATGACAGTGAGAAGAGATTTAAACTATCTAGTCTTTCCTCATATGATAAGTTAGCTATGCCGTGAACCATACGTGTTGCCTTCCTTTGAACACTTTCTAGAATGTGTGAATCCCCTTTTAGACACGGACTGGCGGCCTGGATGCAGTTTTCCAGTCTTGACCTAACCAGAGATGTGTATAAGGAGGTGAACATATCTCTGGTAATTCTTGTAAAGGCTCTGCGAATCGCCCATAAGGACCTGAAACTACGTGCAGCCACCGCGCGACAGTGTGCTGTAGTTTTTAAGTCGTGGCTAACTATGACACCTAAGTCCAAGTGAGTCTGAACTGATGGAAGTGTTATTCCCTCTAGTTCGTAGGAGCTCGTGCTTGCTTGTCCAATGCGCATGGTTGCACATTTTGCCACGTTGATCGGGAGCATCCATTCAACAGACCACTCCGACAGTTTGTTGAGGTCGTCTTGCAAGGTGGACGTATCACTGTTGCCCTTCAGCTCCCTCCAAATTTTTAAGTCATCTGCGTATAGGACCATAGGGGAGTCGGTCAGCAGAGGTAACTCATTGATATACAGAATAAAAAGGAGAGGACCGAGAACCGTGCCTTGTGGCACTCCGCTACTTACTGCTGTCCAGGAGGAGAGTTTTGAGTTGATCCTAACCCTCTGCCTCCTATCTATGAGGAATTCCCTGAGCCAGTCTAGTAGTCTGCCTTTGATACCAAGACTTTCCAATTTCATGAGTAGTCTTTTGTGAGGTACTTTATCAAAGGCTTTACTGAAGTCTATGAAGACGACGTCAACGGGTCTTCTGTCATCCTTTGATTTAACCCAGCTTTCTCTTGCAGTCAGGAGATTTGACAGGCATGAGAGGTTCCTCCGGAAGCCATGCTGTGCTCCAGATAACAAGCTGCTATTTTCCAGATAAGCCATGATGCTTTTCTTGATAATTCTTTCCAGTGTCTTGATTAAAGTGCTGGTGAGACTGATAGGCCTGTAATTTGAAGGGCTTTGTCTTGATCCTCCTTTGTGTATGGGAGTTACTATGGCGTCTTTCCAATCACGTGGCAACACTCCATTTTGGAGAGATAGCTTGAAGATCGTGGTCAAGGGGCCGGCTATGTGGGCTGATAGCTCCTTGAGAAGCCTTGGATGAAGACTGTCAGGACCCATTGATTTTCCTGCATCTAGTTTCATTAAGAAGTTGAGCACGATGCCTTGGTCGATGTCAACGGAATCTATCCCATGTTCTTCTGATGCAGCCAGAGCTGATCCTATAGGCAGTGATGACTCCTGAGTGAAGACTTGGGAGAAGTAGTTTGCCATTGCTTCTGCTTTTTCTTGATCTTCTTCGATTGTATCTTTGTCAATAATCAGGTTTGGGACACCATTGGGTGTTTTATTCCTGAAATTCAAGTACGAGAAAATTTTCTTAGGTTGTGCCTTTGCATTTTGGGCCAGGTGTGTCTCGAACTTCATCCTTGATTGGCGGATTTCTGCGATAGCTTTATTTCTAGCAGTAGTATATAATTCCCTGGTCTCAGAAGTCTCAAGTGTTGCAAACAGGTTCCAACATTTGCGTTTACGTCTGAGTAACTTACGAATCTCCCGGTTTATCCAAGGGGGGGAATGTTTCCGACCCTTTGGAACAGACCAAGGGATGAAGGGTACAGTTACTTGGGCGTAAAGTTGCTTAAATTGGTTCCATGCGGCTTCTACTTGGGACTCTGGATTGATGTACCAGTTTACTGAGTTGGCTGCTGAGACGATCGCATTTATGTCAGCTTTCCAAACGTTTGGTCGAGCTGGGGTTTTGGCCCTTGCTGCCGTTGCTGTGAACTTGAAAGTGAGCACAGCATGGTCACTTCTTCCTAACGGAGGAAGATGTTGTATGAGATCCACATCCTCACCGTGTGAGAACACTAGGTCCAGAGTTGATGAGGAGTGCTGTGAGTCATAGCGCGTGGGCTTAATGATATGTTGGACTAGGGCTAGCGATATACTAGATTCTAGCAGTTTATGGTCAAAGGAGTTGACTGAAGATGGAGTTGTTAGGCTCGACCAGTCAACTGTTGGGGCGTTGAAGTCACCGACTACGAGACTTCGACATTTTGAAGTCCAGGAGCCTAGCTTCTCTATTAGGAAGTCGTCTGCACTGCAGTCAGGACTGCGGTACACAGCAATGAGGTCAATGTCTTGGCCTATGCATTTAAGTCTGCAGCGTAGAAGTTCGCACGACTCACTTTCGTGGGCGAGTGCTTCGATACTACGCACGGTTAAGCCTTTCTTGAGGTAGATGACTACGCCCCCTCCTTTGCGGTTTAGTCGGTCTACCCTGTGCACTTCGAAGTTTGGCAGGTTAACTTCGTTGTCAGTGACATCGGGTGTGAGCCATGTCTCTGTGATAATAATTACATCCGGGTTTCCGGTTTCTATCATGTTTGCCAGCTCAGTCCTTTTATTTACCAAAAATACGGTGTGGAATCAAGCTCTAATCAAATTTGATTAGCATTTCTTATTTTTAAAATAAAAAATAAACTAAAAATAAAATATGATTACTAGCAAAACAGTATTTTGTGGTGTTTGTCCAAACAACTCGACTAATTTAACACTGTTTGCCTTTATCCGATACTACTCGTCATTATTAAGCGTCTGCTGGTATTTTTCTCAACCTCGTTTCGGCTCTATTAGCTCCAATTTCAGCACTCGTCTCATTAATTAATTAGTGTTTATAAGCATCCAGTGCAACTTTTAAGCACTACCCACGTAACTTAAATACATACTTGGTTACTTTTAAACACGCAAAATACCCATTTATCATTAGACCATATCATAGAACCATAGTTAAAAATAAGTTTATTATTACTGTAAGCTTGAGATAACACGAATAAGTTCCACCACACAGCGTGACCTCGACTAACCAGAGCATAGAATTCTGAATTCATAGACCCAACCGGATTACTAAGTAATTATCATATTGAAACAACAGTGCGTAGATGAGGTGTGCCCGCTGTCATATTTTGGTAATGTATCTGGGGCCACAGTGGTCGCTAATGTTACATATAGTGGCCTCCTAGAAGTTAAAGTTCAAGGAAGCGGATAAAAGACATGCTAGTGTTCTCCAAAAATCAGGAATTTTCTTCAGTTGGTCAGTAAATGTACTTCTTACACTGTACCAAGGAAAATTACTACTTACTCCTTATAGATTCCTTTTAAAGTAGCACAGTCGCGAGCTTACGACTATGTGTAGAATGCATTGATGATAACTAAATTTTTCTCGTACATCAATAGCATGGAGCCAGTAATGACAATTGTTGTGTTATTAGTGTATTTATCGCATTAGATAAATGTAATAGTGTCGTGAGCAAGGAGGGTGAAACTGATGTTATTTACCTGAATATTTTTTAAAACATCCAACCGTGATAACTGATCACTTTTTAGATAATCAGGTATGATTGTCTGGGTCTCATCGTATTTGTCTGATCACCTGTTTAACCTTAAACAAACGTGATGTCACATTGGGATTCTTCAGAATTCAGTTTCAGGATTTCTCTTCCTTTGTAAACATATACTAAGTGTACATCTAGCTTTCTCAGGAATTCTCCTTATTGAGGATATAATACTATTTGAAAGAATAAGAATCATATGCAATCACTAGTGAATGTACATTTTGGTGGAACAAGCGCATAGTATCCAACAACAGAAAAGGCGAGTATCACCAGTACAAATTTAACAAAATGAGCCTCTTAGTGTGAATAGTCAGAAAGGATTTAAAAATTTAATTTTCTATGTGCTTAATTAATATACTTGCTACGAGGAAGTTTTTCTCACAATATTGTTGCTTTTCACCCTACCACAAATCTTTAGACAGTTGAATTTCAAATGTTTCAACTATTCTCATACGGTCACAGGCATCGTCACCATAAACCTCGGATCCAAGTTTCGTGTCTAGTGGCGCTCGTCAGGAAGGTGTGCCTACAACCTTGAAGGAATTCATATCCCTTCTCGGTTTTACACATGTGTCATCTAGTGCTGCAGTCAGAGACATTACCACTGAGCTATTCGGGCTCACGGTTGACCTCCTGTAGGGCTCTATTAGCTACGTCAGATACTAGTTAGTAACCAGTGAAATGTGTTTAGTCCTTGGTGTTTGTGCAGACTGGATTCTATCAGTCTGTCAGGTGGTAGATACGCCTTGCTGACGAATGCCTAGGTTCAAGACTTCCTGCCGATTGTCTCCAGCCAACTATTATCAACAATTCAGGGTGTACTGTGATGGTGAGCTACCATGCATGATAGCCATATTTCAATGTTGACTGATGGAATTCAGTCTTCAGTAAACAAAAGACTGGATAGATTACACTAGTCACCAACTACTGTCCAATCAAAATAGTCATCTTTTACCCATTAAAAACGATTAAGCTTCGTTGGAACTAACCTTCAGAGAAGTTTACCTGGTAGTTTCAAAGACTAAATACTACAATTTAGCACAAACAAAAGGGAGTATCCATTTTATGTCTTTTAATATACCATAATCTACAAGGTGATTGCATTATACTGTATAATACCTCCATTTATCCGACTTTGTATGTGCAATCTTTTGAAATAAATAGGTCTAAATATTTGACTTCAAGTTTTGTGCTTAAATTGCCCATTGGCTCAGTTATTCCACTCCTGTAATATTATTGTACATTTAACAAGTAACAACGAAGTGCTAAACATGCCCAGATTTTCACTCAGGACGTTCAAAAGACCGCATTTTGTCAACGATTTCACTTTAAACTACTATTTTTTAACACCATTCAGTTGGCCTATGTTTCAAATGCTTTTAAAGAGTGAAAATTTGATCAATGCACAGTCATTGGGTGTTAAACAGTTTTCCCCAAGATAAACTTACCTATACACATCCTGAATAGCACACTAATTATAGGTGAATTAGAATGGCGCTGGTTTAATGTTGAACCAACACGGTGTACACTGAAAGCCAGAATAATATTGGGTAGGATTTTTCAAAACATCTCGTCTTAGCCTTATGCATCTATCTAGAATATTAGTTTGGTTTCTTTACTTTAGTTCAGGAAAACTCTTCTCAGACTGGATCATTTTACATTTGAGATGATATTAAGAAAACAGTCTTAATAAGCAAAGATGGATGCAAGATTAAACCATTAGAGTACATAGATGGGCATAAGGTAGAATACCAGTGGTATGCGTCGGTGGCATAGCGGTTAGGACACTCGCCGACCATGCACGTGGTCCGGGGTTCGATCCTCGGCCAATGACGCACTCCTTTACCTCGCTAAGCGAGAAATAATCCTGGCAAAGAGGAAAGGTTGGGCATGGGGCTAGCAACCCCATCCTGACAAAATAAACACTGCTACAGAAACTTCAAGCCACTAGCTTGAAGCCCTATGTTCCACTGGGGAACGTAAAGGAAAAAAATGCAGTTTACAGAAACCAAAAAAGACACCCTAATCGTTTGAAAGTGCTTTGTAACTACAACACCTCTTGAATATTTCATCGTTTTACCGCTAAATGTTTTCAAATAATTAAGCGTTTCGAATGCCACTGAAACCAATTGTATAGTTTACAAAACAATTTAGGGATTGGTTTTTTGTATTAGAAGTGTTGCAAGCGCTGATTAATCCAAACACTCGGATGAACTCTACTGGCTAAGACACGTGTTTCCCATGCTGACTTGCTACTTTCCTGATATAGGATGAGTTTGGAAAAGAGTTACAGGTGGTCAAACCAAAACCTGGTAACAATCAATGAAGTCTTTGGTAGTCTAGTATGAGCCAGAGCCAAGTACATAGGTGTAGACTGCTTGGTTTGATTTCTGGGAGATGTTAAGAGTCAATAGCTTAAGACTGTCATGAATATGACCCAAAACTGTTACCAGTTTCCCAAGTCCACTAAGAAATCCTCACGTTTTCTCATATTACTATTCTTTCTCTCGCATGCTTTCGCTCATTATAGTTGGCTTGAATATCTTTTTTTCTTCTGCCTTTGTATGCTACATAAACTGTGGCAACTTTAACTAGTGCATCTCTGTGTAGACTTCTATGCTGAAACTCAGACAGTCAGACAAACTTTGCTGAATGTTATTTATGTGTTGACTTGAGGCATGTACATGTGGGCTATTTCTAAACAGTCGATTATTCTTCACAAGAGCATTGAAAAAAGGATTTACTTTGTTTGGACACTAGGTGGTAGCTGATGTGCAGTCAAAGTATCCATTACAGTCCTACAGAAGATCAAAGGCATCGGCGATCGGTAACACCACACAACTATTTAGGCTTATCAGGGAAACAGGTGGTTCAAGGCAAATGATAAGTGAAACAATCTCTGAGAAGAATGGCACCATAATTAGCTCCCAGGATAGACGACTGGAACGCTAGAAAGAACACTATGAGGAGAAGTTTAATTGGCCTACAGCCACGCTCAACCTTCCGAGCATCCAACACCTCCCTGAATGGGATATAGACACAAGTCATCCGTCCTTAAATAAGGATACTAAAGCTGTCACTGGTCTGAAACAAGGCAAAGCAGCAGGACCTGATGGATGACTCCAGAGGCATTTAAGTACGGTGGAGACAGTTTACTGTCTGCATTAACTGAGATACTAGGCAGCGTCTGGGAATCAGAGGAAGTCCCGTCGGGTTGGTGTAAGCCACTGATTATCCCCATATACAAGAAGGGAGACAAGTCTTCCTGTGATAATCACAGAGGGATTAGCTTGACTAATATAGTATCTAAAGTCTTAGGCTCAATAATCATGCGTAGACTAAGTGGTGCTTGGGAGGCACAAACACGAGAGAGCCAGGCAAGCTTTAGACCAGGAAGAGGGTGTATCGATCATATCTTCACCCTCCGACAGATTCTAGAACATAGGAATTCCTACCGGCGTCCAACAGTCATTATATTTCTTGACCTACAGGCGACATTCGATTCTGTCGACCGAGAGGTTCTCTGGTGATGCTTGGCTGCAAAGGGAATTCCGAGAAAATATTTTTTTTTCTATTTTTGATTTACAGCACTGATTAAGGCACTCTACTGATGCAGCCAGGTGAGGGCTTACGGCGAGTTGCCATCTGAAATGGTGACGACCAGTGGTGTCCGTCAGGGATGCCCATTATCCCCTTTTCTATTCAACTTCATCATAGATGTGTTAATGGACTTAACCCTAAGTGACTTCAGCGACTCAGGGATTGACTTGCTACCAGGGAATAATCTCGTTGACTTAGAATATGCAGGCGAGGACGCTGACGAAATGCAGAGTCTTCTGAACACCTTGAGCTGCAATCTACAAATGTTTGGCATGCGATCCGCTCCCGCCAAATGCAAGATGATGTTACAGGACTGGACAACGTAGACGCCTAGTTTAGAAATAGGGAGTGAAGTGGTAGAGCACGTTGACCGCTTCACTTATTTGGAAAGTACCATCAGCCCCAACGGGTTGATCTCTGACGAAATCTCACCACGGATGCAGAGGGCTAGTTTCGCATTCGCCAGTTTACGCCGACTCTGGCGTAGACGAGATGTTCGACTATCGACCAAAGGGCGGGTGTACTGCTCATCAGTCCGCTCCGTCCTCCTTTATGGCTGGCTGTGAGACCTGGCCACTGAGAGTGGAAGACATGAAAAGACTAGCTGTCTTTGATCATAGGTGCCTGCGCTCTATTTCCCGTGTGAAGTGGTAGGTGTAATAGGGTGAGCAATATTGAGGTTAGGCGTCAGTTGAGTGATAGGTAAGGAGGGGGAAATCAATAGACGGGGCTGTGAAGGTACATCGACTAAGATGGTTAGAATATGTGTTACGTATGCCTAGTCATCGCCTTTCTCGACCGACGGGCAATGTTAGTTGACATAGGGTGAGACTGGTAAAGAGCTAGCGGCGGCCAAACCAAATCATGGCCTCACCAGTCAATGAAATCCACAACAGTTAGTTTAAGTTGGCTAGTCATGTAGGAAGGTGTAGACTTCCTGATTGTTTAGGGTCCTCGGGATGGTAAAAACCAATGAAAACTGGATACAATTGATGATATGGCTCAAAATCCTTCTCAATGGCTGGTTGGCGCAGATGCATCCACTCCTTGTGATTTATGATTTTCAATGAAACTATATTGTTCTGCGTTATTACTATTCCTTTGTCTCACACCTCTGTTAACGGTCTCTCTTGTGCATTTCTTCTACTTTCTTCTGTTGCTTTGTGTGCTACAACCAGGAGTGGAGTGTGGCGACTTAAACTTCCGCACATATGTGCAAAGTTCTATGTCGAAAACAGATAGACAGAAGGTCAATCAAGAGCCAGAATAGCTGCTCAGTGATAACATCTCTGACTGTGGTACTGGGTAACGGCCCTCGTATGAATTTTAGAAGGGACATAAGTTCATTCGAGATTACAGATACGTCTTGTTGATTGGTGAATACCAACAAGCACGAAATCGCGGTCCATGGCTTCCTCACCATTGCGTCCAACCGTTTAACAAAGAGAAGGAATAATCGCTGTCATACACTGACCGACTGACTGATTTCAACATAGAACTTTGCAAAAATGTCCACCAGTTTGAGTTTCCTCTCTCTCGTTCCATGTAGCACACAAACCACGAGAAGGGAGTAAAGGGAGGTTAAAAAAAACAGATAATAAACAGAAGTGTGAATGGGGAAAAACAATAGTAATATGGAAGAAAAATAGTTTTATTGGTTGGCTGTCATACACCTTACTGAATTGTATTATATAAAGTATCAGAGACAACTTTGTTATTCATTATCCTTATTTATTTCTGTGTTTTGGTTCTAGAATTTGACCATATATACCTCGCCGCCACTCCTCACCCCCTCACCTCCATTTCTTCTGTCAACTTGGATTCAATGCCATTGAATATGTTCATCACTGAATAACAAATTGTGTAGACACATTCCACCTGAGAATGAAGTTCAAAATCTTCAAGGAAATCATTTTTACTATCATCGATACAGAAATAAACTGTTCATGTGATGAATGTGAAAAACGGAAATTGTCTAACGGGATAACATTCTTTATTTTAAAGCATAAACTATGGGTTGAAACTATATCCAATGCTGAATTATATAAAAGGCTAAAGGTTTTCAATATTTGCATTTATTATTATTAATAATAATAATAATAATAATAATTGCAGATGCTTAATCCACAATTTGAATTTCAATCGGATACACTTCGACAAACAATTTATGATTGTATTACATTTGGAGAAGTGCTAATTAATGAGGTTCAACCATCTGTTGTTGTTACTGACGCTGCTGTTGGTGGTGATAGTGAGGATATGCGCAGTGTTTGCTTTCAATATCATCTTGGAGAATCTATTCTAAATTGGCGGATAAATGCTGTTGTGCCTAGTTCATCATCTGTGGTAGTCAACATTTGAAATATTTATCTATAAGTGATTAATTTGTCTTCTTCTTGATTTTCTTTAGTTATATTGTCACATTATCCTGCCACTTTCATTGGCATTTGAATTACTGAATAAAAAACAAGCTAAATTAAATAATAAACTGGCAATACTTGAACGACATACAAATCGACTCCATGAAAAATTAATGCTACCAAGTAAACTATACGTAATGTTTATTTTTTAACTCCATAGCTTAGTATCTACTATTGATAATACAGAGGAAGAAAATACAGATAAGGTTAGTGATTTAGTTTTTTTTAAAAAATTCTTTTACGTTCCCAATGGAACATAGAGGGAGGGGGCTTCAAGCTAGAGGCTTGAAGTTTCGGTAGCAGTGGTGTCTGTTTTTACGAGATGGGTCGAGTCGCTGACCTCATGCTCAACTTTCCCTCTTTACCAGTCTTACTAGTGGCTTAGCGAGGTAAAAGATAGGGGATTGAACTCCGGATCATGTGCATGCTCGGCGAGCGTCCTAGCCGCTGTGCCACCGATGTACTAGTGATTCAATTGGTTTAAAGAATATCTGTTTTTTTCCATTTTTTTGCTTTTTGGGGATTATTTGATCAGCAAGTGGTTTCAGAATTTGATTTAACATCTGGTAGGAAATAACTAGTGTCATGCGTCTAGTTGTTATTGTTGTTGTTGTTGGTTCTATCACAGTCAAGTTTATAATGTGGCCACCATTTGAGATGGCTCACCATCATAATGATGCACTCTGAATTTAGAAAGCAGAAGGATTTAGGGAAGAAATATTTACTCTTCAATTAGATCCTCATCTCACTCTGGCTCTATTCTGATATATATCCATAGCATTTTTATTACAATACACAACAATTTACCAATCAGATGTCGATATGTTTGCTAACAATAATTAGTCAGTGTCAAAATGTCAATGGGAAACAAGTCATGTATTGATCAAATTGTCACACTACGGATCATCACTGAACAAAGCTTGGAATGTCAGTCACCTCTCTATCTCATCTTCATTGACTTCGAAAAGATCTTCGACAGCGTCGATAAAGAGGCGACTTGGCAACTACTTCGCTATTACGGGGTGCCATTGACAATTATACATCTCATCCAACAGTTATACGACAATATTGCATGCCAAGTAATCCACAACGGGGAACTTACGGAATCCTTCGAAGTGAGGACTGGAGTGAGGCAAGGCTGTCTACTATCGCCAATGATTTTCCTGATTGCAATTGATTGGATAATGCGACAGACAACGGCAACCAACGAGGGAACAAGCACAAAATAGACTGACACAAAAGACTTGGAGGATCTGGATTTCGCCGATGATATATGTCTGATTTCCCACAAACTGGAAGATATGCAAGTGAAAAGCAACAAGTTGGCAGAAGAAGCATCAAAGATAAGACTTCAGGTGAACATAGAGAAAACAGAGGTGATGAAGATTCCTGGCCAACATCAACAGCAACAACAACAAACAACAATCAGCCGGGAATAATTGGAAGAACCTGAAAGAAGCAACCTCCTTAACCTACCGACCTACCTGGGAATCATCGTTTCAACTAAAGGCGGACGGAACTGTTGAAGATATCAAAGCAGTGAGGATCGGGAAAGCAAGACAAGCTTTCGTTACTCCTAAGTCTGTGTGGAAGTCAACAGCACTCAACATCAAAAATAACATCCGGATTTTCAACTCCAATGTGAAGTCAGTCAGTGCTACTTTACGGATCAGAGACTTGGCGAGTCATAAAGAGCATCTCAAACAAACTTCAGACCTTCTTCAACAGTTGTCTTCGCTCAAAACTCAAGATCAGATGGCCAGAAGAGATCAGCAACAGGGATCTCTGGGAGCGAACCAATCAGGAACCGATTGTGAAACTAATAGGCAGGAAGAAATGGAGATGGATTGGCCATACTCTGAGGAAACCATCAAGTGAGTGACATCACTACGCAAGCCCTCGAGTGGAACCCGAAAGGGGAGCGGCGAGTTGGTCGTCCAAGAGTGACTTGGAGGTTGTTTGAAGAGGAGATGAAAGCGTGTGGGCAGACTTGGAGCGGGGTGAAAAAGTTAGCAGAGAACCAAACGCAATGGAGACGCTTGGCCGAAGCCCTATGTTTCTCTGGGAATTAAAGGATATAATAATAATAATATAATAATAAAGTGTCAATGGGGTGATAGTTAATCAATACCCACAATTAAAAGGTAGAAATGGTTAGAATAAATTAATTTTACAAGGATAACACGTAATTAAAGATGAAGTGGTCAGAAAAAATAATAAAATTATTTGGACAATTATAATTTTTAAGGGTGAGGGGGGCGAAGTAGTCCGGTTTATACACTCATGTAACGATGGCCAAGGTAAGTACGAAAGTGGCTGTACAAATTTCTTTTGAACACACAGGTTTGGCTTCTTCAGGTGGATTCTTATTGCTTCAGCTGTAGGTATGTAGAAGACGAACTCGTAAAACAAACTTAAGTTTAGTAGGAGTGTGATAAATAATTTTAAATGCAGTATTAACGTCAACCTTATGCTCACTACCTACAAGGTGTGTTGCAATAGAGCTACGAATAGATCTTGTTTTTACCTTGTTTAACCATGTTGGATGATGATTGGTAATACGGTGATGGAACTGCCTAACTGTATGCCCAATTTAGCTGGCTCCGCAGCTGCAGTCAAACTGGTAGTTACACATAGAGGAGGTAAATTTAGGTAGTTTATTCTTATTTCTGGGACGTGGAATAGGGGTGGTAGTGAGGAGACAACGTACCTCTGCTGCATAATAATTTTTTAACCGCATTCTCCAGGCACTGTGTTATTATTTTGCTGATGTTGTCACCGAGGAACTGTAGTTTTAGTGATTTTTTCAGAACTGTTGCCATACTGACTCTCCTAGGTGCTGAATTCATATTTTTCTCAATGAATTCATCTGGATAACCATTTTTTCGAAGTAATTCTCTAATAATCTTAAGCTCCTCATTACGGCAGTCGTCTGAACAGAACCTAGCGTGTAAACTTAGTAAAATTTAATTTATTCTAACCATTTCTACCTTTTAAATGTGGGTATTGATTTTCTTCGTTAATTATCACCCCATTGACATGTTGACACTGACTAATTATTGTTAGCAAACATATCATGCCACTTGATTGGTAAACTGTTGTGTATTGCAATAAAAATGCTATATATATATATATATATATATATATATATATATATTAGAATAGAGCCAGAGATGAAGATCTAATCGAAAAGTGGATATTTCTTCGCTCAATCCTTCTGTTTTCTAAATGTCTAAATGGGGATTTTTCTGTATCGCATTCTGAATTTTTGTTATTAAATAGTTGGAGGCGATCAGCAGGAAGCCTTCGACCTAGGTTTTGTGCATCTACCAGTCAGCAAGGCGTATCTGCAACCCTGAAGGTATATATATCCCCTCTGAGATTCGAACCAGTGTCACCCAGTGTTGCAGTCAGGGAAGTCACATCATGGAACTAGTTACTTATCAACAAGTGTTTCATCAAAGTATCTAATACGGTCCTACAGGAGGTCAATCGCTAGGCCGAACAGCTCATTGATAGCATCTATGACTGCAGCACTGGGCTACCCTGGTGCGAATCTCAGAAGGGATATGAGTTCCTTCAAGGTTCCAGATACGTCTTGCTGACTGGTGAGTGCCAACAAGCACGAAACCTAGGTCAGATTGCATTTCCTTACGATTACCTCCAACCATCTAGTAACAGCCGATTTCAGTTAGGAAGCTATTGAAAACAATGAGTTACTAGGTATCTCTTTCGTCCTTCCTTGGGTCTGTCTGTTTTCGACATAGAACTTTGCATCGATGTGCGGAAGTTCAAGTAGCCACACTCCACTCCTTGTTGTAGCACACAAAGCAACAGAAGAAAGTAGAAGAAATGCATAGTAGAGACAGTAAACAGAGGTGTGAGACAAAGGAATAGTAATAACGAAGAACAATATCGTTTCATTGGAAATCATAAGTCACAAGGAGTGGATGCATCTGCACCAGCCATCAATGAGTACGATGAGTTTGAGCCATATCACCGATTGTATCCAGTTTTCATTGGTTTTTACTTTCCCGAGGACCCTAACCAATCAGGAAGTTTACACCTTCCTACGTGGCTTAAACTAACTGTTGTGGATTTCATTGACTGGTGAGGCCATGTTTTGGTTTGACCACCGCTAGCTCTTTTCAAGCCTGACCCTATGTCAGCTAACATTTCCCTCCGAGGAGGGCTATAACTACGCCAGTTATATGTAACACATATCCTAACCATCTCACTCAGTCGATGTAATTTCACAGCCTCGTCGATTGATTTCCCCTCCCACCTACCTAGCAGTCGACTGAGGCCTAACCTAAATATTGCTCACCTTATTATACCACTTCACACGGGAGATAGAATGCAGGCACCTATGATCAAAGATAGCTTGCTTGAAACTCAATCGTGGCCTTGACAGGGGGGAGTTCCTTGACCATTCAGCCCCTGGTATGAAATCGAATGGTCTATCGATTCTAACTCTTTCCATTTCGCGATATATATATATATATATATATATATATATTATAGTGCCACTGCCAGCGAATGTATTTTTCCCCACACTCAACATTGTTAACCCCGCTGGTCACGAATTCTTACCAGAAATTCAGCAACTTCACCCTGTACTCAGTCACTGGTGAGCGTTAGATTAATTTTCAAGTGTGGCTTCTCAGGGGTTTGATTGATTTTTTTTAGTTTAATAATTAACTGACTTCAGTTAGAGAACTATTGAAAATCAGGGATTACTGGACAGCTTTCTTTTATCCTTGTTTAAGACCGTTGACATCAATGGGAGTTGATGTTTGAGGCAATCGGTAGGAAGTCTTGGACCTAAGTTTTATGCTTATTGTGACATCCTTCAACAAGGTGTGTAACTGCAACGACTGGTGTCCCCTTATGGATAAAATTTGATTTTTATAAATCACACAGTGTTGTTATACAGTAGTGATATTAACTGATGACCACGTTTATAGCACAAATTATAGCCACTCATAATCATATCAAGTCCGCTTTGAGATTCGAAGCGGCGTCACACAATACTGCAGTCAGAAAGATACCTTTGCACTGACAACTGATCTCCTGTAGGACTGTAATGGATACACTAACTGGTCACTAGAGATTAACCTTTTGGTATTGTTAGGTTGACTGAATTCTATCAGTCAAGTTTGCACCGCCTTCAACAATCTAGGTGACTGTCTATCACGGTGTTAGACAAATATTAGAATCAAATTGAACTCAATATCATTCATTAATATTATTAGTCGAAAGTATAAGATGTCAAAATCACTAACCTTAAGATTTGAAAATAAACAAGCTTAATGGAAAATGGTAGTGTTCTTCATTCCTATGAGCTCCGTGTAAAAAAATAGGGCTACAGAGTTTGCAGAATTTGCACCCAAGACACCATAGAAGACTAACTAGGCAATCTCAAGAGAATCCTCATCGAGAATTGTTATCGTGAACGATTTATTGCGAAATCTATGAATCCTAGACCACAAAAGCTGCCCACGCGTAGCGTCCCGAAAAAACTACTCTACATAAACCTTCAATTCAATGGAGAGATATGTGGGGAAACACTGGAAAATTGACTGTCGCTTTCACTTAAGAAGACCTTCTTCGCAGCTGAACTACGACTAACCTTCTCCACAAAACCTATGATTCATGTGAATGTGAAGGATAAGCTACCACTGCTGGCCTCATCAATGTGCATTTATCAATTCGTGTGGAGCCAGGTATGTCGGCCGTACACAGCGTTCGCTTTCCAAACGTATCATCGAACACTTACAAACATGGTTTTGCAAAGGAGAAAAACGATGTCCCCGCAGCTTCATCTTAGAACATCTGATAGATTCCGGACAGCAAGCTGCACCCCAAACAAACTTCAAAGTCGTCTACAGAGTAAGAAGTTGTCTTCCTAAAGGTGTACGAATCAGACTTCTTCAAACTGCAGAAGCAATGGCGTTTCACTTGCTGTGTCCTCCTGAACTGTGCATACAGAAGAAGTTCGTTCAATGACTGCACTTGCAATGGACGTAATCTATCTCATTACCCGACAAGTAAATTCCACCTAATTTTTTTCTGTTCTGTCTCTTCATTAGTATTATTTTGTCTTCTCAGTTATAATATTTTACATTTTCAGCTTTCTTGTTCTCTACCGCCACCCGATTTAATTTCTACATCTCACTACCACATGGTTACTGACTTGACCAACGCTCAATTTCTAGTCATTTATGTTACGTCACCCAACTTATTTACTCACTTTCAGTTCTAATTTAAATGGCATTATTCTCTACCCCACCTCTACTTAGTCTCTACTTGTAATTACCTCTGTTGCTACTCTGACCTAAGATGAAACATTTTCGTCAAGCATATTACGTCGTCGAACTTACTAACTTAATCTTACTTTAGTTGCTGTCTGATTAACCTTGTTTCTATATTAGATTATTTCTGTGTTACCTGATTAATTATCTAAACTTGACAAACCTGATGTACACACACACACACAAATAATTATATATAAATGTGATTGTACAGCTATGTGAATGAATTCACCGGCGAAAAGAATCTCTTCGCTGAACGTCTTCTCTTTTTCATATGACTCAATGGGGATTTTTAAGCTACTCAAAAAATAGGGCGTCAAGTTTTGAAGTTTCAGTAGCAGTAGTGGTGGTATTTATTTTTTTCGGGGTAAGGTTGCTTGCCTTATGCTCTACTTTCTCTCTTTACACTGAGTTTACTACTGTCTAAGCGAGATTTAGCAGTGTGTCATTCGGGAATCGAACTTCGGACCACGCGTGAGGTGTGGTTGGCGTGCATTCTCCCGTTGAACCACCGATGGACAATAACAACATCCCAATACCACTTTTTTCTCTGGAGGATGGAATTAGGTTGTGTATTGGCAATAAGTATACATTTGGTTGCAGTTTAATTAGGTGGGTTGGGGGTGTTCCGAGTGGAACATACGGGGTTTCAAATACACATATTCACTTTCTTCTATTTTTTCTGACGTCCTCTTCAGCCGAGTCCATGACTGCTCGTAATCTCTCATCTCCTCCTTACCAAACCATCTCCTTTATGTCATCCTCGCGCCAACGACACACTCTTCGCTTCCCATTTTAGGAGGGATTCTACTCAAGCGATGACCTGCATTGTGCACGATGACATTCGATAGCCTTCTCAATGGCGTGTGCCCGATCTATCTCTATTTTCTCCTGTATATTTGTTGAGCAACTAGCTCTTGATTGGTCTTGTTGCCAGACAGAGTTTCTTGTTGCTATTCTCTCTGGGGATAGTAACAATAGTTAACTTCATGGACCCATTCCAGTTGTTTAGGTATCTCAAACATTTTGTGCAAACAGGAGGGACAAAATTAAAGAATAATAATAATCCAAGAGATCTAGAAGACGAACAACCTTGAAGTTGTCTGTCTTAGTCTATCGTAATTGAATATGCAGTTATAACGGAGAAATCAAGTCTCACCATTGTTTTAAAAAAGTGCTATTGAAAATTTAAGGGGAACACAGTACACATTAGATGCTACAGTCAAGTAACCTTAAACCAACTAGTCAGATCACTTAAGCTTACGAAAAGATGTACTTCATATTCTCCGTTGGAAGTTTCACCCTGATTTAGAGTTAGAGGGACAGTTGAGGTTAGGGTTAGGGTTTGGGTTGGGGTAAGGTTACGGTTCGAGTAGGGTTAAAGTTAGAGAAGAGTTAGGGTAGGTATAAAGTGGGGTCAGAGTAAAAGATTATGGATTTCAAACAAGATTATGGACAGAATCCATTTGAAATGTTGAACGTTGTGACTATCGTCATCAGGGTATATGTTCATCATCCATCAAGATTAGTGAATCACAAAACTGGTGAGTATTCATACAGATTTTTGCAGAAGGATTTTTAGCATATCAAAAAGTGTTATGTGTTTATAACCACTCCTTTTTAAAAAAAAGAGACATGTAAATATACTTTTTTTTACTAGAAGAACATGATTGGTTAGCTCCAAGGTCATTCGACTGTGGTTTTGTAGGGATTTTATTTGATCGCACTGGATCGGGTCCCATTGGCTCCATGGTCTACGAGCTCACCTTGTAACCAGAAGGTCCTGGGTTCAAACCCAGTTGGGATGGGTGCTTACTGATGATGAGTCCCAAGCTAGGACGAAACGGCTGTCCAGTACTCGCAGTTGGTTTTCCAGTGGTTCTCTAGCTGTGGTATCTATTGTTTACTGTTTCAGATTTAAGGAGTAGATATAATCTGGAAAATGTATCGAAAACTTAATTCGAGTTTCAACATCTATTCCTAACGTTAAATTCTATCGTGTCTCTTTAGTCCCTGAACTTGAAACGATATTTATTAAAATGAATACCAGTATTTTTATGACAGAAGGGTAAAGTTAAGTTGTAATGATCCATGGAATGCGAGAGAGATCGCGGGGTACATTGAGACAGTCAGTCAAGAAATACAATGGCTTTTGCATAAAAATGACATTCATGTATAAGAGAAGGACATGAAATCACATTAAAACAGGATATATTTCTCTCACATGACTACTTAGAGTTACTTCAAGATTATAATGAGAAGTATCAACTTTTAAGTTAGACCAGTGTGTCTGAGCTTAAATTCACCGAGGTGATTGAAGATGACTTCTTACTGTGACCCATTTTATCTCCCTTATCCTGTTTTTCGGTCTTCCTCCAAAGTACCTTGGTTGAATTAGTATGAGTTCCAGTAAGATGATCGGCAATTATTTATTACATGGAGGATTTCGTTATGAGTTGACATTGGTTAGAGAACCACTGGAAAACCTGGGAGTACTTGACAGCTGTTTTTTCCTAGTTTGGGACTCTTCAGCCGTGCGCACCCACCGGGCTTCGAAACCCGTACTGTTGAAGAGCCCCAAACTGGGACGCAAGAGCTGTCCAGTACTCCCAGCTTTTCCAGTGGTTCTCTAACTGAGGTCAGCTCATGATGAAAATCTTCAATGCAATCAAACAAAATCCCTACAAAACCAATACTTGAAAGTTATTTATTATTAAGATGCGGATAATAAAAATAATTGGACCAACCCCAAGCCTAGTGGTAACTGTAACCCTAATCACGACCGTAATCCTAACAAGCTATTAATACATTATCCGAACAGTACTTAAAAACGAGATCAGGATGAAATCCGCACCTCGATTCATGCACAGCGTTGATGGTGACACTGTAGTAATATTAAGTCTAGTTATCCAACGAATAGTATGTATTCAAGGTTATTGGAGGGTTCACACTCTTGAGCCGTTATACTTTAACTTATCCACTGGGAGTTATTTTCTGCAACATTTTAAATTAGAGAAAGTATTTCATATTCTTTAAACTCGTCTTGTCTTGAATATACCTCATTTTCGGTCTGAATTAGTCCACTTCAATCTGATTGGCCGCATCAAGGTCATCAGGCCGGTCATTAGCTAGAACCACCAATCAGTTATAAGTCGATACACATGAACGGCGAAAAATGAATTAAAATCAACAACTTTTTCTTTTATTTTTATTATTTTTTTTGTTGAGATAAATTACTTCCTGTTTGTGTGACATTTTCATTTTTTGTTTTTATTATTATTTTTTTCGAATAAAAAAACAGGATTTAGACATCACACATAATTTTTCCAACAGTTTGTTATCATCGCCAGTTACACAGAATCTTTTCTGTGAAGCATCCAGACAGTTATTTACGCTTAAAAGTATGTTGTGATAAAAAATTATTTATGATTATTATTATTGTTTTAAAAACAAGAAACTTCAGAGAATACTCCAACTTCTTCGACACAAACATCATCGACGTGTAGTGGTAGTAGTAAAGTGATAACAAAAGATTCAATGACAGCGGACGATTCGGTGAGCTTTACCTTGAGTAGCTAATTTAACTTTGTTTATATGCTTTCTTCATGTGTTCGTTTACTAATATAGCATGTCATAAGTTTCCGTGAGATATTTTCATAATCTGTGAGTAAGGGTCTCGTGAGAGCAGGCTGCTAGCCAATTGATAGACATTAATTTACATCAATGTCTATGTCGCTAATATTGGCCGTGAAAAAATATGAACAAGACTGATTCAACAGCCAATCACAGCAGACCTAACGTGGGCAAATACGATTCGCAGATATATGGCTTAACTTTCTAAGAAACCAGTCACAAGCAGTAAAGAGTAACCTTGAGCAAGAAACAACCAATCGGAAGACTGTGTTTGTCTGCTTGAATAAGCCATAATAATGTACATGAAATATATAAATACGTGCTGATTTCCTTAATAAACGACCTGTTGCCTGGCCCTTGTCTTCTGCTGATGTTGTTGAAAAACAAATGGTGATAGGAAGGCGTAGGGAGTTATTCACAGTTTCCAAAAACTGCGAACGATTTTGAGTTATATCACCAATTGTCTTCAGTCGCCGTTGGTTCTTACCCCATCTTGAGGACCCCAATCTCATGAAGTCGACACCTCTCGATATGGCTCAAAATAATTGTCAAAGATTCTATGAATAGATTCCATGTTTTGGTTTGACCACCTCTAGTTTTTTTTTACAACCTGATCAATCCTATTTCACTGGCTAACACATTGATCGTCGAGGAAGGCGATGGCTAGGCACACATAACACACATGCCCCCTAGCCATCTATCTCAATCAATGCAGCTGCTTCACACAACCTCGTCGGTTGACTTTCCCTTCTTGCCTAACACTCAACCGTTGCCTAACTTCAATATTTACTCATCCTGTTATACCCACTTAGCACACAAGGGAGACAGAACGCTGTCTGTCTGGATTCAACATAGAACATGGCACCGAAATGCACCAGTTCGAGTTGCCACGTTCCAAATAGCACACAGAGGTAGACAAGAAGATAAGTGAAGAGAATCAATACAGTCTGACAAGTATAAGAGTGAAACAGAATGGGTAATGATAGTAAGGAATATGAGAGATTATAGAGACTGAATACATCTGCGCTGGCCATTGACAACGATCACTTTGAGCCATGTCACCTATTGTCTCCAGCCATTGATTCCTAGAGTCTCGGGGGCCCCAACCGGGAAGTCTGCATCTCCCTACCTGACTCAGTTCAACTGTCAAGGATTTGATGGATTGATTCCATGTTTTTGTTTGGCCACCACTTACTTTTTTCCAACCTGCACCTATATCCGCTAGTAACGCCCGTCGAGGGAGGCGATGGTGAGGTATGCGCAGCACGTGACTTAGTCACCTCAATCTATGTGACTTTATAGCCTCGTCGATTGATTTTCCCTCTTTGCCCAACACTCTACGCCTAACGTCAACATTACTTACCTTATAATACCACCACCTAACGTGAGAAAGAGATCGCAGACATCTATGATCGAAAGCAGTCAACCTTTTCATGTCTTCAACAACTCGTATTGGCCATGTTTCAGAGCCATAGAGAAGGATGGAGCGAACTGCTGAGCAGTACACACGTCCCTTGGTTGATAGCAGGATGTCACGCCTACGCCAGAGATGGTGTAAGTCAGCGAAAGCAGACCCCTATGATAACTACTAGGTCGAGTTTAACTTTAGGCGCCAGTAAGTATCTATGGAGTGTGACCTCAACAATGACATTGTAACGCTCAGTAAGCGAGTTATTAAAACCTGGTAATTAATATTGTAATCAAGAATAAACTATGCCTAATGAAGTGTTATGTTTGATGATATTAGATAGTTGGAGGCAATCGGCAGGAAGCCTTCGGCTTAGGTTTTGTACTAGTTGGCACTCACCAGTCAGCAAGGCGTATTTGCAACTACCTTGAAGGAACTCATGTCCCTTCTGATAACTGAACCCCGCGTCACCCAGTGCTGCCTGCATTCAGAGACGTTACCATTGAGCTATTTGGCCTCGTGATTGACCTTCTGTAGGACTGTAGTGAATATTTTGATTGGACACTAATAACTAGTGTGATGTGTTTAGTCCTTTCTTTGGTGCAGACTGATTTGGTATGGTTATTAAATAGGATATCTGGTAAGTTTCAGGTTAGGTTTGGGAAAGATTAAGTTAAGGTGTTTAGGCTAAGAACAGGGGGTAGAACTAGATTAAAGAAAGATTAGGGTCAGAATACCCAGATAATTACATGCATAAAATGTGATTAAATTACTCTGTTGATACTCCAATCTAAAAGTGAGAGGTATTTTTGTTACATGTCAGAAAAAGGTAGTCTGTGTAACATTTTTATGTCTTTTAACTCATGCGCATATATGTCCGTAACTTCACATGCATAAATCGCCTTTATCATGTGGTTGGTGCATTCCAAGTCATTTGTTCCTTGGTACTTACTTCTGTTTAAAGTTTAACTACGTCGACAGCAAGCCTTCTCAGATCTTTCACTTCCAGTGCCCATGTCTCACATGAAACATAAAACTTCATGCGTGTATATCTTCATTACACTCAGTTTTTGTCATCACCTTACATAGTCTTCACCATGTCCCCTTCAAACAGCCAACTGGGTGTCTTCCAACCTGCTTCCCCCTCTTGGGTGTTTGGGGTGTGGTGTCATGTGAAGGTCTCATCTCAGCGTATGTCGAATTCATCTTCTCATTTCTTCGCGTATATTTTTCAGGTGATAAATTCTTGACTTATTCTTTCTAGCCATTTGATTTTCAGTATGGAGTGACTCGGCACAGTTGTTCAGATCTTATTTTGTATATTTTAATTGAATTTTTGATTTTCCCGTCGATTGATTGGACCGAAGTGCTCGGTCTCGCAGGTTGACATGTCGGTTTCTTGTGCAGACGCTTCAACGATATCTGGACATGTAATTAGAATTTAATTGATGGATGGTGACTAGCAGTGGAATCCAGGATAACGCGCATTTCGTCCTATTTGGGACTCATCAACTAGCTGTATGTACCTGCATTTCCCAGTGAGTGATGATGTTCCCACCACCGAGGCTAGAACCCAGTGCCCATAGTTTCAAACTCCAAAGCGCGTTATTCAGTAGACCACTTGGGCCACGAGAGCCACTGCCTCTTGTGCAACGGGTCATATTAATTACTTAATTGAATTTTAGATTTTCCTGTTGAAGGGTTCGAGCCTCAGTGGGAGCATCATCACTCACTGACTGGGAAATGCAGGTACATCCACTGGCTGACAAGTCCCAAATAGGACGAAATGCGCGTTATCCTTGATTCCACTGCTACTCATCATCCACCAATTAAATTCTTATTTTGCATAATTTGCATATTATCGTGTAATTCTACCCTTTCGCCTTTTCATCACATAACTGAATTCCATCGGCTTATTAGCGAAAGAAGGCAGTCGATTAAGCGAGATTATCATTAGTGAAGATGAAAGGCTAACTGGTATATTTTTATTGGTGATATGTAGCTATCATTCGTGTACTTTTATTTTATAGATCAATAGTTATCAGTGAAGGAAACTAATATTTAATTATATATAAATATATGTCCAGATTTTGGGTTTTGTAGGGATTTAAATTGATTTCAGTATATAAGTTTCGTGATCAAGCAATATCAGATAGAGAGAGAGATTATTAAAAGCAAAGAATTACTAGATGTCTCATACATTTGGCTCCCTTGATAAACTTCGATAGAGAAAGAAAGACCAGATTTGCAGTATAAAATGACGTCATCACTCTATGTTACAGGTTCTCCTCATCAGCTAATTGCGAACTACCTGGAATTACAATGGTTATAAATAATAATAACATTTCATACTTCATTGTTTGAAAGGTAATAAAGAAAACATTATAAGATGAACGCATCCAGAATATAAGTATTACAATTGATAGTTTAAGTTAGCATCAATTTATAGACTATCAAACTATGAAGAAAAAGAAAAAGGGGGGTGAGAGAAGACAGAAAACAGCAAAATCTAATGAACAGTGTCAACATGGCAACTCAAGAAGGTCAAAGTTCATCAAATTAAAATCTTGTTCGGCGGGCTGAGCTCACCTATGTGTATGACTAATCAGTGTAATGAAAATGATATGGTTACCAAGGTAGTGAGAGATTGACTACACTCTCTTTCTGTGTGCATAAGTTTCGTCTGTGACGTTTGATTGCTGTAATTGCTTCAGCAGTAAATCGTAGTAGATTCGCTATCCTTTGTATGTTTAATATTTTGAAGGATTTGGAAATCTCAACAAAATTATCCGTATCCACTTGATGGGTGTCTGGTAATTGCACTTTGTAAATATCTGCTTCCTTTTAAGCATAAGTTTCTCGGAATATGCTCTGAAAACCGGATAGAAGCCCTTCTTTCTGTCTTTCTAATGTACTTGCTGCCGCAGGTGCACGTAAATTTATAAATTCAGTTGGAGGTAACATCAGCGACAGGGTACTTATCCAGTTTCGATTGGCTTAAAGAGCATGTTGTACTGTATAGTGTCACCAGATTGACCGTGGGTTAGCATCCTTTTATTGCTCCTTTCATCCTCTTTTCAATCTTTTCCGATACTTTTTCTCCTTTGCATGGGAGGCAAATGAACACTTTCTTCTTTTCAACTGTTGGATACTTCGCATTCTCATCTCTTTCTTTGCTGTACTTTAGGATAAATCCTTTTGGATACCCGCTTTCCTTAAGGCATTTTTCAACAAAGCTTAATTGTTCTTCTACCTTGTTAGGCGAACATAACTTCCTGGCCCTGTCGTACAGTGTCCTTCCTAATCCCCGCTTATAGCTTCATAAGGCAAAAGCTGTTGTAGTGAAGTTATTGTCCGGTGCAAGTTTCTTTTAGGTAGTTTGCAGCTGATGAGAACTTGAGAAATAGAATGATATCATTTTATACTGCAAATCTGGTATTTCTTTCTCTATCGAAATATTAGATTTCTGTTTCGTCCTAGTCTGGGACTCTTCATCAGTGAGCATATGCAGCGTCATCAAGAGTGGAATTTATGGACACTCAGGTGACGAGATCAACCCGTTGATCATACGGTTACTGGGTTGTGTGTATCAGCGACTCTGTGATGCTGTCACCAACCAATTTCACATCTACCTAACACGTTGGACTCCAAAGTCCACGACTCTTTCAACAGAACTTTAAAACATCTATCTTGTAGAGGTACTATGGAGTTGGCGACTGAAATTTTGACTAAGATGGTATTCAACGCAGTTTCCATCACTGAACTGACATCATTTAGTGGGCCGTTGTATGCGTGCTATGGAGTACTTTGAAGCTTTTGCAAAATTACACCGTTATAACTTATTCTAAACGTGTGTCCATTACAAATTAATTGATTTATTTTATGAAACGAGATGAAACTGTTTGTCTAATTATTAGTAAGACAGAATTTCAAGAGGACATAGAAAAAAATGGAGGTGACAAAAATACCTAACCAACCAACAGCAAAACCAATCACCATCATTGGGAGAAATGTAAACGAAGTGACATCTGTTTCACTTAATATTTATTTTTTGATTAGCGCTTGATTCCACGCTGTATTTTTGGTATAAGTATGGAATTTTCAGCATGTGATGTCGTTAGCCCAAATTTTGCAGGCCGACCATAGATATCAGGTGTGTGTCGATGGGGGCTCGAACCCCGAACCATGCGCATGGTTGGTGAGAGTCCTAACCGCTGTGCCACCGACTTGAAACACCACAGAAGGCATTTTCAACAGTCTATTACAGACACCCTTGATATACTGAGGACAAGTTGGCCAAAAAGGATTAGCAACAAGGGACTGTGTGTGTGTGTGTCAAGCAAAAAAAAAACCAACCAAGAAACTGTCGCCTATCCAACATATATGCAGAGGGAAATGAAGTTAGATTGTAGACATACTCTGAAGAGAGACCAATGAATGGAACTGATACACACCAGACACTCGAGTGTCAGATAAATGGGGAACAAGGAGTTGGGCGTTCAACAATGACATAGAGGAGATGAAATCTTTTGAGCAATCGTGGAGCCGGCTTACAAAAACATCAGTGAACAGAACGAAATAGTGATGTCCTTCAAGGGAATTGCATAACAATAGTTGGGCGCCCGAAGGTGACATGAAGAAGGTTACATAAAGAGGAGACGAAAGCCTGCTGGCTGACAGTCATAGAACCAGTTGAAAGTTATGACTGTGAACCGAAGATGTGTCACTCAGGCTCTATGTTCCATTGCGTATGCAAGGTATGAATGTTATTCATAAAAATAATAATAATAACAATCACATTCGACTATTTGATGTCTGTATAATGAAATGACAAGTACTGCTTTGGTAATACGATTATTCCACAATTCGACTACTGAGTATCTCTGCGGGCATATATATATATATATATATATATATATATATATATCCATTTTTCAAGGAAATAGAATATATTATATACATTCAATGTATATAGGTATATATAAATCTTGGCAAAGGAAACATGTCGTTGAGATTATGTATATGTATCTCTTTGATAATGAACACTGTTCACAAGGAGAAATTGAACAGTAGATGTATGTATGATTGATCAAGATTCAATAGACTCACTTTTGTTTTTTGTTTTGTTTATTGTAGGAAGGTGAAGAGGAGAAACGCAGAAGTAAACTTTATAAAAAGTTAGCAAGTCAAACGAATAAATATAAAAGCAAAGAAGTGGTGAAAAGACCTGGAATACTTCGTAAATAAATGCATACATAAACAAATAAATAAACTATTATTTCCATTGTAATTAATTTTGCTCTTTAATATTGTTTAAATGAAATATTTCTATCATCCATTTTGGGGCGTTTTTTGTTTGTTTGTTTTTGTTGTTGTTGTTGTTTGCGTTTCCATTAGTTTTGTGCTTGAAGTTGTAGTTTATACTCATTAGGCAATTCTTTATCTGTATACGGTCGATCACAAAAGTATATTCTACGTAGACGACAATTCGCGTTGACTTTTACACGATTCACTTCCATTAATCGTTGTTTATAACAATATTCTGTTAGCCTTTGTAAATCGAATACAACAGTATTCCAACCAGGATGTAATACTAATGGCATTTTAGTAGTGAATGGTTTAATTGTTGTTGTTCGTGTAAAATTACTAGCACGAAATCGTCTATTAACACCACTATAATCTTGAATTTCTATTTCAAATGTGAAATATCTATCCATATTTTTAAATAATAATACAAATATAGGCATACGTATGCCTAATGTTTGTGATGGACAACTTGGACATTCAATATATGTAGTTGAAACATTTGTACCACGTATATCTAAAACTAATGAGCGTATATCTGAATCAGAGATACGTCGAATTGTACCAGATCTTGCAGATGTTGCCCAATTTAATAAGGGTTTTTGTCCAACACTATAAAATATAGATAATAGACCAGATTGATAAGATGATCTATACATCACTTTTTTTAAATTTTTTTTTTATTTCTTTACTCTTTTGCTGTTTTTACTTATCTCTCTGTATATTTTTTATTTTTCACTGCAATAATTAAATAAGTATCCTTCTTTTCGTGATTCCATGTATAGTTAGTATTGATCGACTGTAGTATTTTTTTTAAAAAAAATGAATCGATCAAGGTCATCAACAGAGTTGACTCATTATGTGAAAATGAATTCATCTTTAATTTCATACTAGTTTAATCTGTTTATTGGATATTATCACACAGTAAAACAGTTTCAGGGTGTATAATATGTATATATCTAATATATAAATAAATTAATATGGAATTATATACTATCACAGTGGTCAAGTTTCTACACATACACATACTCATGTGGCAAAATTCAACAATGGCTTCACAAGGATGCGAACGCACGAGTGACCTTGAGTCAGCCAATCATAAAAATGAGGAAATTCTGCACAAAAAATTGACGTTTATTTGATGACGTATTGATGTCAGTTAAAGAACCACTGAAAACAGCTGTTTCATCCTAGTTTGGGAATCATTGGCAGTACGCACCCACCCACAAGACCTTACAGTTACAAGGCCATGGAGCTCGTATACCATTCAACCACTGGGACCCGATCTAATGGCCAGGCCATGAATTCTAACTTTTACTAATTCGTGATTTAGCTCGACCACCAACCAATGTCATCGGTGGGAACTCCATTCTCACACTTGACTGGATGGATCTGACTGGTCACGACTTCCTACTAGAACTGCAGGAAACTCTGTCCCTTAGCAAGTTACTAGCGAGCAGTGGATTAATTTTCAAGAGTTTGGTTTGTAACGATTGGAATTGTTCATTTACAAGAAAATGCGCGAAAACACAGTAAATAGGGTATCTTTCTCTGACATGACTTAAAAATACGTCCTAGTTTTAATGAGGAGTATCAGTTGCTAAGTTAGACTAGCTTCTCTACATGTATTCACTGAGGTGACCGAAGATCAGCTGTTTTGTGAACTGTTTATCTCTCTTATCCTGTTGTACAGTCTTCCCCAAAAGCCCTCGGTTGAATGACTATGTTTCGCAGTAAGAGGATCGACGACCACTTACCAGGAAAATATGGATGATAAAACAAATAAAAATAAATGACACCAACCCTAATCATGACCTAATCCACACCGTAATCCTAACTCTAATGCTAATGATAACCATGATCCTAACCTCAACCCCAATACTTATCTTAACCCTAATCTTAGCCTTAATGAGCTATTAACACATTGTCCAAACAGTACTTAAAAATGTGATCTGGGTGAAATTTACTTCTTAGGGGGGATGAATAGCGTTGATATTTCAGCTATGCTAATGTGACAGGTGCTGTTAGCCAACGACTAGCATGCGTTCAAGGTCATTGGAGTGTTCACACTTCACCACTCATCTTTTTACGGTTAGTTTTTATTAGAAATCGTTTCTTCTAAATTATTCTAAACACACACACACACACACCATCTACATTATCTACAGTTTGAAATAAGCGCTTTTCAGTCGTTTCAATGCTTATTATATGCATAATAATAATTTGCTTTATTCCAAAACACTACTTGTGATACAGAATGGAATTCTCAGCATTTTACTACAGTATTGCATCCAGTCAGTTAGTACATTAACAATGAATAAAATTCCACATAGATTATGGGTAATCTCAGTTCATTATGACAACAACATATTAGCATACCGGTAGCAAAGCTAAAAGTGAACAGAATGTTTGAAGGTGTTAGAAAAGTAGATGGTAGCATATTTACTGGCGTAAGCGGTAACAAAAGGTGGAGTTTGTAAGGAAGAGAGAGAGAGAGAGACAAAACAGCACATAACAAAAAAAGGGAGAAAGAAAAGGAAAAGAAACAAAGAAAACGTTGTACGTATTAACGATATGAGTTAGAAAGACGAGATCCAGGTGTTCTACTGTCTGTTTAATAAGTTATAAGTTTCACGCCTAATGCTTTCTTTATCGCACAGAACACGAGCTAATTAGGGTATGGTTGAGTTTTTGTACTTTCTAGTTTGAGCATATGGTTTTATATATAGGCTTCTGGTCCTGCCTGATGAGATACAAGGGGAGAGTTGTGAATGAAGAGGGTGGTGTTAGATAGAATGGATTGATCCCACTTTTCACATGAGTCCGTGTGCCTGTTGACCAGAATATTCACAAGCTGGTTAAGTGGCACTCTGTGGCTTACCCTGCTGACAACCTTTAAAATCCTGCGTAATAAGATATAGTCTTTCTTCAGTAGCTCTGGGAAAAACTAAGGCGGAACAATAGAGAATAATAGGCAAGATTCAAGAGTTAACGAATCGTAAGAGTAAGGGTTGGGTTATTCCAGAATGTCTTAACTTCTTGACGTAGAAGGTAAGACGGAATATTTTCTTAGAAATCATCAAGATATGAGACAACCAGGAAAGATCAGCAGAATTCTTTATCAATAGTTACTGGTGACTTCAATTTCTGTTCCATGCTCCTTCCTTGACTTCCTTGATCCTGTAAATATTGTTAACTTTTCTACGCGACTTGACAAAAAAACTAACAACCACACTTACTTGATTTTGTGTTCACTAGCGACACTGGAATATACGAAGTGCGCGAATGAGCGCCTATTGTCAACGTTGATCACTGTATTATAACGAGTCCTGCCTAAAGTATATATAGCAAGTCTTAAACAATTGTATTTTCACACCTTTCTAAGAAAGTATAACAGAGATGTGTTGCTGAAAGAATAACATGCATACTGTCAGATGCATGTTGAAGGATACCAATAGGGATCTATATACTGAACATAAACTTAAAGACACTGTCATCAACACAACTGACTAAATTAAATTTTGCCTCGATACTGGTTGCCCGAAATAAACACTCTATTCCGAAATTTTGACTGGTGCTCATCTCAAAAGGATTAGTACTCTAATAAAATCTGAAATCCATTGTCTGAACACTATTTATAATCAAAAACTTTTAATATCATGCAAGACCCCGTCAAGGCATGTGAAAACTTTTCAATGAAATTACTGGTCGTGAGCAAACTTCTGTTGTTCAGTTGCGTATGATTCAAATACTCTGAGTCAGTCTTTCAAACTGTCTCTCTCCTAAGGACGTTGTCATTCCTAAGGCTACAAATCAGATCGTTTATTTAGGAAATCAACCCATATTATAGATTATTGTTAGCAGAAAAACACAGTCTTCTGATTGGTTGTTTCTCACAGAAAGTTAACCTCGCATCTCTCTTCGTGGCTGTTTCTTGAATGTCAGATCAGCTATCTGCTAATTGCATCCGCCCACGCAAAGTCTTTATTCTTATTTTTCTCACGACCAATATTTGGGACATAAACATTGACGTAAATTAATGTCTACCAATTTGGCTAGCAGCCGGCTGTCACCACAATAGAGCTAGTAACTTCATGATCTTAATGCTGTTGATGTGCAGAAATACATGAAATCACTAAAACCTTCCAACAACCTTGGTCGTGATGGTATTCCTGCTGTGTTGTCCTTAAAGGTTGTGGGGATATTCCATGTTACCCTATGTTACTAATATTTTCAACGCTCCTCTTTCTAGTAATGTGATACCTGATGCGTGCCTGGAAAAATATTAAAATTATTCCAATACCCAAATCATATACTGGTTTAAATGTTAAATTCAAACCTATTGTTATCAATAAGTTCTCCTTTTCTGAAGTTATTGGAAAAATTACTTTTAGTCAAATTTCAAAGACCCTTAATAGTTTGCATGTATGCGTAAAACTAGGGCACACTGTGGTAGTAAGTAATTCCATATTAGTTTGTTTATTAGAATACATTAACTCAAAGGTGGAGGCAATTCAATTTACTTATGATGAATTGGAAAGTCAGGAAGGGGAGCTTCCAATGTTAGATTGTAGCGTAAAAAGGAAAGAGGATGTGAAGTTAAACACTTCTAGTGTTTACAGGAAACCCACACATTCAAACAGATATTTGGACTTCCGATCATCCCATCCTATATCAGTGAAAATAAGATTGGTGAAATGTTTAAATAATAGAGAGCAAAAACTAAGTAGTACCGAGGAAAATGTAAGACAGGAATTGAGGCATATAAGAGAAGCTTTGAAACTTAATAATTACCCTTATAAATTAGTCAGGAAATATGTAAGGAAATGTAAAAATAAAATAAATAATGATAGCAGCGATAGTGATAATAATAATAATGATAACAGTAATAGTGATAATAAAATGAATGACGACACCAACAATAAGGAGTCTAAATCATCAGTAGTAATTCTATACAAGATAGGAACCTCGGAAACCCTACTCAGAATTCTTAACAAGGCAGGAATAAAAGTGGCTGGCATTCAAAGCCACAAACTCAATTAGAAACAAGCTTTGTCGGTTAGAGGGTCAATCCTGTGGAGCCTTTAAAACAAAACTATTTAGTTTATCTAATACCCTGCATGGGATGACTGTCAGATCAAATACATAGGTCAAAGTAGTAGAACAGGGGCAGTAAGTCAGACTAGTCAAACATACAAACCTAGCAAAATTTAGATTGGTTGACCCAAATAAGATAAGAAATCTAGAAAATAGTTCAGCTATAGCACTACATTCAGTTACACACAACCATACAATAGGATGGGATAGGATGACAGTTTTAAAATCTAATGTCACAGGGTGGAGGGAGGGATTGATAACAGGAGCTTTGTTTATCGAATTAACTGCAAATACGTGTAACATGAATGATTCAACACCTGTCCCAGATATCTGGAAAATTCTACTAGCCGATGACGACAAATAGGAGAGAACAAAGAAAACTATATAACTCAAGTTTCGAAGTCGTGTGATTATAATTGATATGATTATGAACACGAATAAATTATGTTCGGAAATTTGTCATCCAGTAAATAATTCTGTTTCACTGTGTGATACATCTAATAGAAAAACTAATATGAGATTAGATGTACTTTAGATGCTACTGCTGTCCTACATTATAATA